TGTTTTTTTTGTGTGTGTGATTTTAAAGGAACAGCAGGTGTATGACGCTTCGTTTCTGTTGTATTTTTAGAGCCATGTCCCCAAAGTTGTCGCCGTCACCCAGAGCTGCTTGCCCCGACGAGCGACTGAGGGCTGTGGAAAAACTCTTCCCCTTCCTCGCCAGAGGCCGGGTGCCCAAAGCCTCGGTGGAAGCTGCTGATCTTGTCTGTGTTTCCGGGTCTGTTGCTGAGGATCCCTGGGCGGAACCTTTAATCTTCGCTGACACTGTAAGGAGAGGCGGATTCCGGTGATTTTTATGACGCTTTGCGGTTATTTGGGTGCCCTGAGGTAAAGACGCAAAGGCGGTGGCTGCAGTGGCCGCTCTGAAGAGCGGGGCAGGCCTGTAGGCGCCGCATGCTGGCTGGGGGGGTCACACCCCGGGCGGGTCGGAGCTGGCAGGGCAGGCTGGGCCGAAGCGAAGTCCGTGCCGACATCCGAAGTCTCTCAGGGGTGTAGAGGATCGAGGTTCTTCAGAGTAAACTGTAGACAGTGGTAGGATTCATGTTGCTCTGTCTCTGTGCTCAGCATCTGTAGTAATAGGAAAACGTGGCTTGCCCTGAGACAAATCATCTTTTGATTATTAGGCAATACAATTACATATTCTACATGTTTTGTAGAAAATAGGGTTGACAAACAATTTAGGTGATTAAAAGATATATTTTGAGACTTAGATGTATGTTCGCTGTGCACCTATATGTACACATAAAGTCAACACAGCTTTTTATTCTTTTCCCCCCTTCCTACGTGAGCAGCAGCCAGCAGAGGGGGCACAGGGCAGCTGAAAAAAAAACTGCTGACGTTAAACTTGTGAAGAGATCAATTTAGTAAATCGGTTTTGTGTTATATTCTGCTGTATAAATAACAGGAAAAGACGTGAATTACTTCATGGAAAAAGTGGAAAAATCGGGGAAAAATAGTAAAGGATTGCCCAGAATACTTACGTATTTAAATCCCATATCCCATGAACACTCATTGATATGTTAGAAGACAACTTGTCTGTAAACTTAAACAAATGTACAGGTATTTGCAGGATAGTAGCCTAAAGAATTATTTGTGAATTGGCCTCCTTACATTATGCAATATTTAAAAAAATTTTACCGAGTGACTGTTATCTTCTTAATTTCTATTATTCAAATTATTTTAGTCAATAATATTTATAATGACTCTGTTTCTGAGTATGCCTTTAGTCGGTGTTACAAACACAGAACAGGAGAACAATTAACACTGAAAATGTTGCTATAAATTGATTCAGTACAAAAGTAGAAATTCCATTCCGAGAAAGATTCCAGGAAATCAAAATACAGTTTCAGCTTCAGTTGGAGTGAAAGTATTCTTCACAAGTTGAAGTATTTTGAATTCAGTTAAAATACTTTATTGAAGCTTCTTTTTAAAGGCAAAATAGTCTTTGATAGTGAAGTTAGAACATCTCTATTATAAATTGAAATAATGCAATTTCAACAAAACACTTGTCCTGATCAAAACAAAATCTTTCAACATTCCAAAAAATAACAAAAATGTTTTAATATATTAAAATGTCAACAGAATTACTACTTTTTTTTTAAATACTGTGATTTTCTTGAACCAGCATTTTTTGACGAGCTTCCGTCAGAATGTTTTATTACCTGCCTTTGCAAGTGAAAAAAGAAATAGGAGCTCAGGTTTAGTGTAGGACAGAACAAATTACATTAGTCACCTGTTCCAACTGAACTCCACATTTTATCCATACAGTTGATTCAAATAAGATGCTTTTGTTTGTTATTTCATGTTCACATTAATTGCTTAAAGATTCAGTAAAAAAAAAACAAACATCTATTTTTCTAAGGTCCCAGTTTCTTCCTTCTTGGCCATTCATGTTTCCTTGATCTTGCCGTTGTCATTATTTTATCTTTAGTTGCATTTTTTCAGACTGTCTTTATTAGCTTAAAAAAATATTAACTGGTGTAGTTCGTTCCCTCAGTACTGCAGAGAAAGCTTTCTTTGCTTCCTCTGTCTTCCAAGATCAATGGAATCATATGCCAACAAGAATTAATGTTGCAATTCATAGACTCAAGTGAAGAATGTTTTCCCTTTTTTATAGGAATAGTATGACTGCTTCTTACAGTTATAAAAGTTTTATAAGATATTGCAAAAATGGTTTATATAGCAGAATAATTCTAACTGGAGTATCAAGATGGAGAAAGGTGGCTGAGAAACGATTCTCAATGAATACAAAGTTAGGGAATTAAATAATAATAGGTTTTTAAACTCCCAAGGGCTTTTAGCCTTCTTCTTGTCCCTAATAGCTGTTTGTCTGCTTTCTTACTTTTAGAAGTGATTATACAGTACCTATATACATTATTGTATCCCAAATAATGTACCTTCAAGTTCTGTTGCTGATCTCCTGGATGTATGATAATTCAAGTAAATGTTTTCAGAAAACGAGCAGTTTTATTTCTCTCCCTCTACCATTGTATAAACTATTTCCTCTTTACTTGACTTTTTAACAGGCTACCTGGCAGGTGGTGTAAGAACAGGCTCTTCTTACTCAACTTTTCTGTACATGTGGTTGAAATCCTGTCTGGTGGGATTTGTTTGTTTGTTTTTATCTGCTGTTGCTTTTTAACCAATATTAACTGTGTTGTCTCTACAGGATTCAAAATGAAGCAAAATATTTTTTTTGTTTTGTTTGTTTTCTCCTTGGTAGTCAGTGCTCTGCAGTAGCTTTACTGAAGTTGCTGTGTGTCAACAGGGAGGCCTGCATCATTGCTGGTGATGATGCATGAGAAGGAAAAACAGCTGAGAATTTTAGATCTGCTGAGTTTGAAAAGTTGTGAAATATCCTAGTATTTCAAATGTGCACAATTTTTTTAAAGTATATGATTGAAAGGCTAATCATGAAGCCCCAAGAGGGCATGTTTTGTCACTTGGTAGAATAGAATAGTATTAAGCATTCAGTTAATGAACGAGTCTGGTTGATAGTAGTGTTGTGTATCAACATACTGAAATATGAATATGTACATATTTTAAAAACAACCACTGATAATTCATAGTTATACTTTCTGTGTTAACCGTTATCTTGAAGAATTTTTCACTTTGTGTCCACGATTACCACTTGCATCTGTTTTGGGTAAGGTGTTGTGAGGTTTCATAGTGTTTGATGGTGATAAAACAGATCAGCTATGCTTTACATGAGAGCATTGGGGATTAACTGGCAAATGCTATGTAGATAAACTTCTAGGTGCCAAGCAGAAGAAGTAATTGTATTAAGTACATTGTTTCCAGAATACTCTTCTGTCTAGAAATGTAACATAAGCTGCACATACTCTTCCTAATATAGCCTGTTTTTTTCTTTATAACGGAGACTCTACGAGTAGGCTTAGTGATTGGAGATGGAAGGAGTTGTTAACTTTGTAGTTGGAGATAAGTCAAATGTCAAAATGTTTTCATTCAATAAGTTCATTGAACTAGGTTCTGGTACAAAAATGACAGGCTATTCCTGTTCTGGTCCTGCCCCCCTGCTCCCCAATGAAGTGGTTTACTTATGTTTTGGTGTGTAATTCACTATTTAAAAACCAAAATTGGAACAGCTCTTTTCTCCTGTATCTTTAGTTTTTCCTTTGTGGATGTGACTGCTGAGAGGTTTTAATGCCAACATCAATTAGAAGTGTATTATTTCAGGTCTACCTGGCAGTTGGTGTGTATGCCTTTTTCTGCATGTCCACCTTCAAAAAAGCTGTACTAAAGGTGCTGTGTTAGATTGTTTGGGAAGGAGCGGAGTTTTAAAGCTGTTTGCTTGAAGTTTCTCAACTAAACGGAGGACCTGGTCCGTATTTGTGACAATGACAAGATTCTAAAGCCTAAAAGACAGTGCTCCACAAGGAAAAAAAGTCTTCCATGTTGTTTTTCAGTGTGGTTACCAAGTGCATTGTTTCTTTAAAGTTTTTTCTGAAAAATAGTTATGCTTCCACAAAATATAGGCATTTTGAATGTAATTCAGTTTCATGAGAATATCCTTAAAGATGAAGCTTGAATTGCTTTGATTAATAATCAAACTTAAATCCTGCTTCACGGTGGCTCTGAGCAGGGAAAGAACTCCTAATTCTTTCAGACAACAACATTTCTTGCTGTCATGGCTTCAGGGCGTGATCATCTTATCTGACAAAGTGAGAGGGTGTTTGCCTGTTTCATTAACAAAATCAGTTGGAGAAACAATCGAGCAATGACTTGCTTCTGAAAATGTGACTTAGGCTTCCAACTTATTTAGATGCTTTTTGAACTTTTATTAGCCAATTGCCCGTTAATCTCATGATCTGTGGATCACACTGACTCTCAGGGATATACATGCATGTCTCCAAGGAGTTCCTTCACATTTAACAGTAGATGCAACAGTAAACTCCCCCACCCACCCCACTCTCCTTGTGTTTTTTGATGTTTCAGAATTTGCCAGCTGAAATTGTGCAATTATCACTCAAAGGATCACATTCTCATAAAAAGAGTTGCATCTCTAGATTTTACTGATGCAAGACCATCTCAGTCATCTGACTATAATTCCCATCTGTGCATCTTTTCATGTTCTTACTGAGATATTTAGAAAGCCAAGAAAAATTATGTGACTAGCCTAGCAGCTGAATCATTGTAGCTGATGTTGAATATCAATGCTGGCACAGGAAATGCAAGATACTAACTTAGGTCTCTTTGAATGATGGAAGGAGGAAGAGGATTTGTAAACAATTTGCAAAGTAATCATGGAATCTTTTTAGATCAAATTGTGGCTTGGGGGGATTTTCTGTTTGTTTTTGTTCTCAAGAACATTGATTTTATGTAAATTACATATTTTATGGAAATTGTCATGGTGTCTTAACTTTCATTTCTCATAATTATTATTTCATAATATCCCATATATGTTAATAATTATGCATTATGTTATGAACAATGCATACATTTTCAAAGAGCATGAACACTTTGTAGTCATTACAGTATAAACTGGAATAGTTTTAGTTGTTGAGCCACATTTAAAAAAAAAAAGAGCCATAATAAGCTCGTTAACGTTAGAAGAGTTTTAATTGTTTAATAGGACTAAACATTACATTTTCACTGTATGGTGATGCCCCATATCCTGGTAGCATTGCAGTCCCAGCAACAAAAATCTATCAGTGTTTTTATTTGGCACTGCCAGCCAAAAGGCAAACCCCATTTTATTTGATCTTTGACAAACAAAAATAAATTTTAATCTTTTTTCCTCCCCCTTTTCTTTCTGTAGGCTTAAAATGAATAAACAATGCCCTTTTTAAAGTATGACTCATTCAAAAGTACACCTTAAATGAGGAATTGTTCATTTAATTGAAGTGATTCCTTTGCCAAGCTTTGTATTGATGTGTACAAATTAATCTTTTTTAATTCACAGTACAAGACTTGTGATCAAATAGTACTATTTTCCTCAAGATAAAAATCTTCA